TACACAAGCCGCGATCCGCATACTTTTTCCTGAGGCTCGCTTGTCTCGAGGAGGCTTTTGAAGATTTCTTTCTCGATCACCTTGTGATGTTTCCACCTCCTAATCGCCACGCCTAGCTGAAGCTCTGGTACACGAGTCTTCCGGGTTATCTGCACCCGAGCCTTGATTCTTATTCGAAACCCCTGATGGCCAAGCCTTTACGAGCTGCACCTGGTCCACGATTGATCAAGGTTTGCATGTGGGGTTTTCGCCCCGTTGAGAATTCTATTCTCAATTCCCCCGAGTCCAACAACTACTACCTAGGTAATCAAAGCCAAGTCTCGATTGCTGGGCACATCGAGAATTGGCAGAACGCCCACAGGGAGGCCAATCATAGTGATTCCGGTCGACTCCCAGCCCCTACGAGGGTATATTGAGTTGAACTGTAAACCACAACATGCGTGTTAGTTGTTGGCTCATTAACACAACGAATGAGCGACCAGCATCACCCCAATCGCCATCGTATATTCGCCTGCGGCTGGCACATATCGACTTGTGGCTGACGAAAACAGGAAAGTTTGACACTGCTTGAGATTAAGTCATCAGCCAGATATTAAATCAGCGAGGATGGCATCAAGTGCTCTTGTATTTAGAGTGGCGCCTCGACCCAGCCTTTGGGCTTCTTGATTAGTGGCTCGTCACCACTATTACCAACCTTTTCGAGGGCGGAAGGCTCCTACATCGTGTAGACATACACAAGTGCTCAGGAACGGTGTTGATCGTGATTTATTGGGCTAGAGTTGTTGGAATGTCCGAGCCAGAACCCCTAACGCCACAACGCCGCGGTAGTCCTCGCACGCTCGCCCCTGCCAAGTAACACCCTCATTCCACCGTGGTTAGTGCTTACGAATTGACATCCATGTGCATCGGGAGTCGCTCCCTAGGAAGTTGAGAATACATGCCCACCACAGAGATGTGGTGCGAACTGGGGTGTGCATGTGTCCCCGCACTTAGCAATCCGTGCCTCAAGCAGCACACATACATGTGCATACCTGTATGGGGGAAGAGACCAATGTGGGGTGTTCATAAGTCCCTCCTGGGGGAGTGCTTTTGACTTGACAGCCTTGGAGCAATGTTGGCTGAGAGCTTCTACGTCATTATAGGTAGAAATGCAGCCTTGTACTGGCATCAACCAGCAGGCTGTTTCTCCTTTGCACAGCATTTTTCTTCAACCCGTCATCGAAAACGGGTGTAATGGCAGTGCTCGCCATCTCAGCTGGACATATAACGTGGCAACTCGCAACTAGGTTCATTTGCTTCCTCTACTCGCATGCTTTTCACACCTAAAGCTAATATCGCTTCTGCCTGGAAAAGCTATACGGGGTTTGACAAGCATCCTTGATTCGATCTGAAAGGAGTTGGATAATGACAAGAAGAAAAATCGATGACATGACGTCAACCGGCCTCCGTTTCCTCTTGTTCTCGGCTGCTTCCAATATTCCTGAACCCCCAGGCGGGGGGGCCACGGGTTGGGTGAACTGAGGACGTGCAGTTTGCTAGTTCTTCACCTCATGACCCTGTCAGTCAATCAAGAAGAAGATTGCCTCGCTTGCAAGAAAGCAAGGTGAGAAAGCAAGTGATGTGTGTCCAATATGTTGACTCACTGTGCCAACAGCAGCCAAACTGATCTGATTGCATCTCTGAATCCCTGCCGCGAATATGTATAAGAAGACATGACCTCTCAGGAAACATCGTCGACTTGAGACTTTAAATCTCTCCAACCTAGTCTAACTCTTAGCTATTTATCTATTGTCAAGTTTAGGCACAAATCACCCCCAGCCTATCTGAGCTAGCAGACTTGAAGAATTCTAGAGTATGTTGACATTTTGTTCATTCAAGGACTTGGGTCCTGACGAATCACTAACATGAATTTGGCACAGTAAATCTCCTTCGATCAATAATCAATCATGTGCCAAAAGCTCATCACTCAGCGAATGCATCGATGTGGGCATTTGGTTGACGAGCCGCCAATGGTCATCCCATACCGCGGCTGTGGTAAATGCGGAAATATCCAGTATACCAGCCACTTGGGAGGAACCACTTTGAAGTCTCCCTGTGATGGGTGTTTGCAGAGCGGTGCGTGGGTTCGGTATGATGGCCAGTGGATGACCAAACAATCGGCAGAGGCTGCGGCGGCTGCTGCTGCTGGAAACAATTGATATTTAGGTAACGAATTGGGAGAGTGTACGCACCGAGGCTTTGCCGAGTTTCAGAAGTAGTACCTGCCTGCTTAAAGGGCCAATTTGTGCCTGCCTTATTATGTGCGTAGCTGCATTTATGTCCATACTTTCACCTTCTTTTGCAACCTCGAAAAAGCTATCCCAACCACAACACAATTTCCTGTGCACAGCTTCACACAATGTATTGGGAACTGCCTTCGTGCCTCCACTCCTTTGATGTCATTTCCCGAGGCGCAACTGGATGGGTTTTCCAGATATGCGACGAAATAGCCCTAAAATATACAAGAAAGGGCCGCCTGGGCGACTTCCTAAAGGAAAACGCAATCTACGACCTCCTCGAAGAGCATAGAGCTCCTCCCGCCCTACTACAAAGCTTTCTCAGACTTCCAGGCATTAACTTCATGCCTCTGATGGCAGGCACCCTAGATCAACGGATCAACGGCAACCAGCGCCGCGACTACCAGAAAGCGAGATGCCTCGAAGTGTTGAAGTTGGAGCCAACGCAAAAGATTGAACATTGGGCTATGGAGCTATCTGGGGCTATTTCTTGGTTGGCCTCGATTGGCCTGGCTCACGGAGATTTACGACCTGCCAACATGCTCTTGGATTTCCGGGATCACCTAAAACTGGCGGATTTCGACTGTGCCTCTGATATGGGGTCTGACCACCAAGGGAGCGCGCCCCCCTGGTCACGAATGCTTGGACCCGAGGCTGGCATCAAACAGGGAACCTATGGAGTTTACGGAGCAGAAAGCGAACAGTTCACTTTCGGCGTGATTCTCTACACTATAACCCGTGGCATCGTGTTGTACGAAGAAGATCCGTCAGGCGCTGTTCTTCTTTTACAGAAGAAGATCTTTCCCCCGCTATCAGATGGACATCTAGATCGAATCATTGACCGATGCTGGAAGGGTCAGTATGATTCTCTTGCCGAACTAGCAGAGGAGATGGCGTCTCTGGAGGGTGCGAAGACGACACAGGCAACCCTTCTAGATGATGAACATGTTGCCAAGATGCATTGGAGATGTACCCATCTCCTAGCCACCAAACTCTCAGCCATTCTCGTTGACTCTGTGACTACGAACAAAGTGAACAATGTAACTAACAATTAGAGTAGACTGGTCGGAATAGAGACTGAGAGGAGGTTACATTTCAACTGACACCCCCCCCTTGGCCTCACTGAGCCACCCCTGCCCTTTATTAAGGTTGGCTCTTTGGGTCGCCATTGTTACTCTTGCCATTCCCTTGGGCCGCCCGCAGCTTGCGCGTATAACGTCATGTCCAGAACGCCTGGCTCATGGTAATACCTAACCCGAACCGTACGAACCCTTGTCCAGAACGAATGCAGCAAACCGTTATATCATTGACTCCAGAAATGGCTATATATCTTCCTAATCAAGACACGGCGGACGCATGTCAGACCTGCTGACTGTCAACACACCCTGAAAGGCCATTCCGCATGCCCACGTGAGAGATCCCCAGGCGCGAGGTGGTATAGGGCGATACTCTTCACCTACCCTCTGCAGAACTCGTCTGAGTTGAAGGAAATGATCTTCTATCTGCCATGTGCTCATCAGCCTCCTGTTCAGCTCGCCTTGGCCACGTGTATGCAGGCGGCACAAGCCCATTGCTGAGAACGATGATCAATACCCCAAACTCGCATCTCGCATCTCTCCTTTGTACGAGCATGATCAACCTATCCTCTTTTGATTCGCCATGGCGTTACTTTGAGTTTACGCACTACCCGTTATTAGATCTCTTCTTACATCGGCTACTCATCTCGAGTCTCACAGCGTTACATCTGCCCCCCTATACCGAGTTTGTCGTGATGTCCCTGTCCCAGGACATCGGGGTCGCTTAGGAGTGCCGAGCAACGCCTCCCGACATTTGGGTGACATTATCCCCTGTCTTCTCTTTACCCGGGCTGCAAAGCTACCGCATTCAGGATATGGTCAATGCCTGGAGAGTGGGCGGTCTATAATTAACCGCCATTTGACGTGGATATCCAGACAACCTCCACCACTACCATCCTTCCTGGAATGATGACCAAGGACTATGCTAAATCTACATCGCAACTTCATATTGGTAACAAAGGACACTGCTGGAACAATATTGAGGCCTCCAACTTGATTCCCCGATCCTTAGGCTTATTATACGGCTTATACGAATTCCCCACAACCAACATTCACCATCTCTAAAGAACGTTATCTGAAATCTGTCTTGGAAACTATCGAGATTCCAGTATGTGATGTCATTTTGTCACGCAATTACAACTCAATTCACGTATATCTTTCATCAACCGGCAGTCCTACCCATCAATCCTTGTCTCGCCTCGGCTGAAAAGCCCGCCCAGCCGCCACCCCATCTAGATGCGCCCAAGTTCTCCAGTTTGTCGGTGCTGAGTTCTCCCGGCTTACATGGAACGCAGCCAGCCCGGCGGCCGCCTTTATGGGCCCTCGTGGACCACGCCCTTCCCCAAAACTTGCAACCATCGCGGAGGCGGGCGGAGAAGGGCGGAGGAGCTCGCTGATCCCCGCTCGGCAGAGGCAAGGCGAGTCTCACACCGACCCAGTAGTTTCTCTCTTGAAGTCGTCACGGCAACTACCAACGTAACAAAACAACGGGGATATAGATTCATATCATAAAAGGGATCTCGTAAAACACACTGTACTCTCCGTACAACCCAGTGAGAGATCAGCAAGACACTCTGGAAACATGCCGTATAAATAGCAGACCAACAGAACAAGGACAGAACCCCCCTCCCAGATTCACAAAATAACGCTACTTTTTATCATCTATGCCGATGATCCGCAAGACCCCCAGGTCGCTGTAAGCAAGCCAGTACCTCGTAGGCGCCCACGCCACCACCGGGCACGATCCCGCCGTCTTAAAGGTGTGGATCTTCTCTCCCGTCTCCGTGTGCGTCACCTCGAGGCCAGATCCCTCGTCACTCCCTCCCACGACGAAACTGCCGTCAAATGTGAAGCCTGACGTTTTTTGGCACACACGGTTAGCGCTTGAACACAATTGTGAAGTACACGAGACGAAAGGGGGAATAACATACTGATACTTCTCACCGGCCCGACCATGCTCGTGATGGTCCTCTGACAGAGCCATCGGCGCGTGTCCCAGAGCGCAATGATCGAGTCGGAGCCTCCAGTCGCCAGGTACCGCCCCGTGGGCTGGAGCTCGGCCGTCAGACATGATGACGTGTGCCCGCTTAGCTGGAACTCCTCGTTGTCGCCGTACGCGACCCGTAGGACTGGCTCGAAATCAGGATACGACAGAATGCGGATGTGTCCTTCGCTGGTGGTCAAGAATATCTTCTCTCCACTCCAGCAGAACGCAATCTGATTCGTCTGTATCGACTGCTGATGAGATGCCAAGGGGGTAGGCGATGTGGGGGAAAGGACGAAGATATTGTCATCCTGTAGGAGAGAGAGGCCAAAGCGCGTCAGCGTGTGATTCAATTTGCCTTCACGGAAATCATCCTGTTCCAAAAAGCTCCCGCCAAGCTCCCTGAATCGCTCCCTGGCCAGGGAGATGGGAGATTGGGGCAGAAACTAGGCACGGAGGAGACGTCCTTACCTTGTTGCCCACAATCAGAGTCTGACCGTCCGGCGCCCATGCCAATGTGAAGGCCTCCCCTAGCCCCTTGACCTCGTTGAAGCAAGCCTTGGTCCTCACGTCCCAGAACTTGGCGACTCCGTCGCTGCTGATGCTGCAGAGCTCAGCGTCCTTGGTAGGATTGAAGGCGACCTTCTCCACCGATCCCAAGTGGCCTTTCAGCTCAGTTGAGAATTTAATGTGAGGTTTCTCTGGGTTCCCTATGACGATGACCAAACGCTGTCAGCTCACTGAAGCCGAACGGCCAAGCATTGATCATGCCTTCGAGGAACTGAAACTCACAAACTCGCAAGGTCTTGTCGGTAGACCCGGTGGCGACCAGCGTCCCTACGGGATTCCATGCAATCGAGCGCAAGCTGTGTAAAACTCCATTGTCAGCAGCTCAACAGGCGCATTGCTCGCAGCAGCAGAAGGGGCGCGCGCGTGCTCGAGCCAAGGCAGGCGCTGTGGAGGCCGACTCACTTGTTCGACCCGCCCGTCCTAGAGTTGGGATCGTTGTACGGCTGGCTCTTGAGGATGGTGAAGTAGGGCGAGAAGCGCTCTGCCGACAGGCTCTGCCGCGGCCTGAGAAGCGGTGCCATGCCCTTGTTTGCGTTTCCTTGTTGCGTCAGTGACATGGCGGGCAACGAATCAATTGGGTGCTGAGGTTAAGATGAGGTGACTTGGTAGGCTTGGGATGGATATCCATTGCAAAGACAAGAATTGGACATGAGACATGCAGGTCGCTGCAGTGCAAGGTAGGTGTATATGAAGGTTTGAGCACATGATGCATCCATTGTACGTACTCACCTGCTGTAGAATTGATGCGCCCTAGAAAAAAAATGCGAGGCAAGATCAATGGACAAGTGAATTGAAGCCGCTGGATGTCTGGTGCTTGATGACGGGCCAATGCGCCTGTTTTCCGGACCTACAGGGTGTGCTAGGAGGTCCCAGTGCCGGGGGTCTAGCGTTCAATGGAGGCTAACCCAAAGTACCAGACCTCACTGCTAAGTACAGAGCTGCCCACCACATCAACATGGAGCCAGTCCTAGAACATGTCCCAGGACAAAGACTCGAGGATGTTGTTGATATTGAGTGGACCGGCCAACTACACAGGCCATCATCACAATGCTGCATCAAAACACGCGTGTTGTTATTATTCAAGTCGGGAAAACAACAAACCATACAAGGATAATCCAATCATGTTATTACAGTGTCCAGCGCACTTTCAGAGTGCCTAGTCTATTATTCAAAAGCCATGATAATATGTGATTCCACGCAATGCAATTCTCTACTCTTCACACAGTAACTACCGATAATCCCGTCATGATATATGCATCTACAGTTTCCTTCCACGGGCTGCCTAACAGGAGTCACCCAGAGCTAGTGCCCTGCCGGATGCCCTTTATCCCAAGCCCAGCCCGGGGTGGGACGAGGTTTTCACCCACCAAGATCGAAAATCTTGGTTTCCATACCATATACTGTGACTCGTGTCCTCCAATCGGGAAGCTGGGTGCCGCCCAGTCAATAAACCAATATCCTACGCCTGCTTTCGCCCGTGACTCCATGCGCCAAATGCATTTTAAACAACAACAAAAAGTGAGACTCAAAACAGAAAATGTGGTTGGATCGAGTGCTGAGCCCGTAGAGCCGCCGAGTGAGGGATGTCAGATATTAGAGGGTGAATATGTGAACAGGGTGAGTGACGAAGGTGAAGTCTCGGCGACCCATGATCCAACCGCCGCGGATGGCTTTTGAGACCAGAGCATGCTAACCGGGCAGTGGTGAGGTTCGATGTTGACTGCATCGTAGCGTGGCACCAACGTTCTGCGATCCAACGCGCGTTGCTGTATCCAGGATTCTAGACGTGTCTGTACCATGTCCCAACGCAAGGACCATGCTGTCTAGTATTCAACACACTCATGAGATTTGATCAAGGCTAAGATCGAGATCTACCAGGCCAAAGGCGGCAGCGCTCTTCTTTGCCCACGTTCGTGCAAGGATCGAAGCTTGAAAAATGTTAGCTAGTTACTTCCCCATTGAGATGATATTACACCACATACCCTTGAGGAACTTCTTGCTCGCATACTTCTTGAAGAATGCTTCGTGGCAGACTGGACGGGCGAGATAGTCCACCATGAGGTGAACCACGGGCTCGACCTCCATCTCGGTGTAGCCAGCGTAATAAGCAAGTGTCTCATCCTAAGTTTCGGGTTAGTCACGAGAGCTATTAACAAGTATCAAGATTGACTTACCCATTCACCACGGTCAAGCATGAGGCGGGCCAAGTACATGGCACCTGCGGCAACATGGCTGGGGCGGTAGGCGAGGAAGCGGTGGTCAAGCAAGCTGATCTCCATCAGGTACTTGCCGACAGTGCGGGTCTGGATGTCGTAGTTGTCTGCCTTTGATACCCGGCGGAGGAAGTTCATTGGGTTGGGGTAGCTAAGATCGTAGTTGAGTGTGCTCAGGATGAAGCGTTCCGCGCTCAGAATTTCCGCCTCGCTGAAGCCGTCATCGGTGATGCGCTTGAAGTTCTCAACATGTGGCGACAGAACCTCTTCGTACTTGGATGCAATAAACATGGCTGTGATGCCAACCAACTGAAGTCGGTCAAGCTGAACAACCTTCTCTGATAGGAATCGGTCAATGATGTTGATGGCGAGGAAGAGTGTCTCGGGAAGAAGGTGGAAGCGGGTGTGGACTTCAATGAGCCAGTCGATGAGAATACCGCGCGTCTTCCACTCAAGATCGTCCTGGTGGTACATGTACTGGGGGTTAGGGACGGAGGAAACCTCAAGATCCCGCAAGTACTCGAAAATTTCTGTGGCGTACTCGGCGACCATGAGAGGGTCATCAACATCTTCACCATCGAGGATCAGGGCACCCTCAGGAATAGGTCGCGCTTCAACGGGAGCTGGCTCGGCCTTCTCAATCTTTTGTCGCTTTTCGGAGTCAGGACCATGTGTCTTCTTTCGGACAACTTCGGCCTCGTCTGTTGTGACGGAATCCTCCCGGTTGTTGGATGTAGATACGTTCTTTCTCTTGATGGTACCGGATCCTGAACCGTTCCTCTTGGGCTCGGCGGCGGGCTTGTTCTCCTTGGCGGCGAGAGCGACACGGCTGCTAGGACGCGTGCTCTTCTGAACACGCGAAGGTTGAGTAGTCTTTGAGACGAGACTGGCCTTGCCCGCAGCGGGCTTCTTGCCCTCTACGACATCATTCTTGCCCACATTGCTGACATCACCTAACGCGGCGCGTCTTCGTGTTCCAACTGCATTTGTCGCGTTGGTCGTGGTCTTCTTGGTTTGGAGTGCCGTCTTGGAAGGCATGGACAATTCATCAACAGTAAGAGCAGCGGCCTTTGCTCGTGTTAAACGCGTTGAAGTGCTGTTCTCGTCGTTCTCTTGGGCCACAAGGCGTTGGCGGGCGGTTGTGGGGCGTCCCTGCGAGAGAGAGTATTCGTTAGCATTGATCACGCGATGTAGTTTCCTAATCCCTGGGAAGAGTGTGTCCTTACAGGAGGCATATTGGTAGTGTGACTGTGCTGGATATGTCGTGTTCAATGCCTGGGTCAAATTGCCTGCACGGTCAGCGCGTGTTCAACAGAAGGTAGAAAAAAGAGCAAGATGTGGGAGGCTCGTCGAATTTAGCAGATCGAGTCGAGGAAGGGAAGAATATAGCTTAGACAGGGCTAAGACAGGTGAATCAAAAGAAGATTCCCGTCACTTACCTCTGGTGCAAAGATAATGAAGGGCGGACACACTTCGCGTTGGAATGGTGAGACAATCAGGTTGCTGAGTTGATGTGGATATGCGTGTTGTGAGGTGCCTCTGTGTGCTGGTGTCTTGTTGAAGGGATGAGTAGAGCAGACAAGAAGTCGTAGAGAGAGAGAAAGGTCAACAAGACAAGAGACTCGAGTCCAGCGCGAGGTGTTTATGTTGAAGAGGACTGGTGACAGCTGCTGTGAGAAAGTGTTTTGAGGAGCGGAGCTTGGAGCAGGGGAGGGACGTGAAGCGCGGGCACGAGGTACGTACCTCTGGCGTCAAAAAGCGCGGTTCGTGAAATATGAGGCTGGGTCGTTGCTACGTCAATTCCCCTTGTCCCACACTAGGAGGAGACCAAGGATTATTAGACGAGGCCGTGTTTTCGAACGGGCCCGAGCAAACTGATTGGATGAAAGCATATAATCCTATAGCCCACAAATCAAAGCCAAGGGATATTCGATGAGACACTGATGGTTTGCCTCCAGGCTTTGGCTGTGGCGTGGATTGGATCTTGATCAAGAACAGATGATACAATAAGAGACAGAAGGAATAATGTCTGGAAGCAATTGCAGAACAACAACTCCGGTGCTCGTTGCTATGCAGCACACTAGTATATTCCACAGGATGTGTGCACAGCATAAGAACGCGACTTGCCTTGCTTGTGCTTCCAAAAATGAGGTATCAAGAATGCCCAAATCGCGAGAACAGGGCAACAAGCAGGGTACGTACCAGCAGCTCCCCACAAATACCCACATTTATGCTCCAGAATGACAATGACAACAGTCGCAACCGCGGAGCAACGGCTCTCTTATTGGCCACCGGCTGACCAATGCGCCAAGCATCAGTGTCGCGACGGTGCATCCGCCGGTTGTGGCTCGTCGCGCCGTTTGACCCATCGGCTCTGTGGCTCAGTCTCGCCCACTAGCCACAAGCTCCAATGCCCCACTATTCTGCTCCGGCTCAATGTTTCCCCTTGATGCCGTTGGAAATTTCACAGCTCACCAGATTGGAGTGGGATATCGGCGCATCTCACTACGACTGGCATCAGGAGTCGTGTGGTAGAGAAACGACGACAATCGTCGTGCCAAAATAGCCTTAGTGTAGGCTCATTGGAGGTAAGTGACGATTGAGATCTGAGCAAGACCCTTGGGTAGCCGTTCAACGAAAAGAACCTACATTAGGTTCCACATGAGGCTTCTTGAGCACCCACGGGCTTCACTTCACACTTCCAAAGAGACCAATTGACCAGTTTTTCTCTTCCACAGAACCGAGGACGAGGCCCGGGATGTTCCAGCCGTGGCAACAGCTGGCCTTTGCTCAAAGGGCGTTGCAGCGCTTGACGCTGAACCCCTTCCAGCTCCAGTTCCGAGCCTACGCAACGAAGAAGTCGGCCAAGTCCAAAGCTAAAATCGAAGCGAAACTCGCAAAGCTAGGCGATGCATCACAATCAAAAGGCGCACATGGCGGTTCTGCCGTCATCCGGACCTACAAGCCCCGTACACCTGGTGTGCGGCATCTGAGGCGTCCAATTAACGACCATTTGTGGAAGGGCCGCCCCTTCCTTCCGCTCACATACCCGAAGAAAGGCCAATCGAAAGGTGGACGAAACGCTTCCGGAAGGATCACTGTCAGACATCGAGGAGGTGGTGCCAAGAGGAGAATCCGGGTCGTCGATTTCGAGCGCAGGGTCCCAGGACCCCATCTGGTAGAGAGAATTGAGTATGATCCTGGGCGAAGTGCCCACATTGCTCTCCTGAGCGAAAAGGCGACAGGGCGGAAGTCATACATCATTGCAGCTGATGGTATCCGGGCTGGCGATGTTGTCCACAGCTACCGCGCCGGTATCCCTCAAAAACTCCTAGCAAGCATGG